TGTCTATCTTTTTTGAACTTGCTTTTGCTTGCTAGGTCTGCCATAGCAAAGTAGCACAGACTTGGTTGCTTCAATAATAGAAATCTATTTTCTCAATCCTGGAGGCTGGAAGTCACAGCATTATTTTGTGGGCAGGGTTGGTTTCTTCTGAGACCTCTCTCCTTGACTTGAGAATGCTGTCTTCTTCCTGTTTCCTCACATGGTTCATCCTGTGTGTGTGTCTCTGTCATAATTCCCTCTTCTTATAAGGTTTTAGTCATATTTGAGAAGGGCCCCCCATAATAGCTTTATTTTAACTTACCCCATTGGGGACCCCATCTCCAGATACAGTCACATTTTGAGGTACTTGGGACTAGGGATTCAACATATGAATTGTGGGGGGGGGGGCATAATTTAGTCCATATCACCTTAGGACAACTGCATATCCTGTTTCCACTGTCCCCAAGGAGTTTATGTTCTAGAAATTGTCACTAGGAGTAAGAGTTACTCAGAAGTAATTCCCTGTCTCACCAGGTCCGTGAAAAATGGGTGCATTGTGGTATATGGCCAATCTAATTTCTTGATACCCAAGAGCTTCTCCATTGGTGAGAGCCTGCTCTGCCTTATGTACATAGTAGGCTGAAAGTGTAGAACCCCCTCCCCAAAGCCCTCAATCAATAACTGATAGGAGTAAAAGTACCCCAGCTCCCATGTCTTCAGAAGGGATAACTGAGGCTCATGTCCAACTGTTCCCTAGAATTCTCCAGCAGGGTTCAGTCATAATGGTAACTTAATAAAAAAATTTGTTTTATGGCATTGAGGATCAAATCCCAGGGGCTTATACGTACACTGAGCTATATCCCCAGCCATTTCTAATTTGTATTTTGAGACAAGGTCTCACTAAGTTACACAGACTGGCCTTCAACTTGCAATCCTCCTGCCTCAGCCTCCCCAGTAGCTGGTATTACAGGTGTATAGCCCCATATCCAATGGTAACTTATTTTTATATTTTTCTGTCACACTTACCCTCTTCTATATCAGAACTTCCTAATTAACAACCTCACAAATTAACAACACAGTCTGTTTCAGGGAGAATACAAACTTAGAGAGGAAGGTGGTGGTGTTAAGAGGGGGAACATACTCTACACGAGTCCCTTGATTATAACGGACTAGCATCAAGTGAAGCAGGATCACTGGTGATGATGTGTGAGCAAGCACTTTGCAAAAATGCCAGCTTTTCTGTATTCTTTTTTTTGAGGAAATAAATTTAATATTGGAACATCACTGACTGGTCTTAGAGCATAAAACCAAATCAAATGCAGTTTGCAAGAAATCACCTACTTTCTTCAAGTTTCTCTGTCCCTTTGCTTGTCAAATGGATACAATACCTATTTCTTTGGTTTGTTGAAATAAATGATTGAAATAATATTGAAAAGGATTACCATAGGGTCTCAATATCTATTGAATGCCAATCTGATTTAGGGAGACCAGATGATATACTTATGATTTTGGGGGTACATTTCTACAAATTCTGGTTGTAAGAATATAGAGATGAATGACATGACAACAATTAAAAAATCACTAAAATTGTATTAAAAGATGAAATATAGCCCATAAAAACAGGAGTGACAGATTCATAGCTCAGACTTCCTGTGGAAGGCTGAATCATGCCCCCTCCACTGAAAAAGATGTCCAAGACCTAATCCCTGGGATCTGTGAATTTTACTTTATATGACAAAAGGGACTTTGCAGATGTGATTGAGGTAAGAATTCTGAGATGCGGAGATTATCCTAGATTATATCAGGTGGGCTTGATATAACCACAGAGGTTCCTCTTAGAGGAGGACAAAGAAGATTCAGAGAGAAGACAAGGTGACAAAGGAAGAAGAGATTAGAGCAATGTGGTCACAAGCCAAGGATTGTTGGCAGACCCTAGAAGCTGAAAGAAATGAGAAACAGATTCTCCCCTGGGGACTCCAGAAGGAACCACTCCTGCCAATGCCTTAATTTTAGCCCCATAAGACTTATTTAGACTTTTGACTTCCAGAACTGTAAGATAATAAACTTGTGTTGTTTTAAGCCATGAAGTTTGTGGTAATTGTCATGATGGCACTTCCCTAACAGGGCTCTGAGAAGAACTGATTCCTCATGTAGTGTGTTGTTTGCAATAAGCAGGCCTCTCTCTGTGAACATGGCCCCTTAGCATGAACCCAGATGTTCCCTCATCTCTCACATGAATTTTATTTGAATTCAGTAGAGAAAAAAATGTATCACAGAAATATGTTGCAAGTAAAGAGTTGTTTACTTCATCTCAAGAATACAAAGTAAAATTAGCAAAGAGGAAGGGGATCAGGTAGGGGGTTGGAGGTAAGGTTAGGTAATAGGGGGTGGAAATGATCAAAATATCTCATATATGAATATGACACAATGAAACACATTATTTGTTTAATAATAAAAATTTGGAAAAAAGAACATCAAAGTTAATACCATTTATCTTATGTGCCCAAGGCAAAAAAATTTGCAGTGTTAGGATCAGGAGTGCTAGAAATGAAACCCAGGTTAATAAATATTCTAGATCAGCATTGTCTACTAGAAATGTAATAACTACATGGCATGCACTTTTTTTTCCCAGTAGACACTTTTTAAAAAATGTAAAATAAGTGAAATTTATTTTAGTAACTTTTTTTTAATCCAATGCAGCATATTCACAACATTACATTTCAAAATGTACTCAATGTAAAATGATTAGTGAGATATTTCCTATTCCTTTTTTCCATACTAAGTCCTGAAAATCTAATGTGTATTTTACACATATAGCACATCTCAACTTGGGCTGGCCACATTTCAGGTACTCAATAGTCACCCCGATCTCCTGACTATCATATTTGCTATATCAGCAGGTCCAGAGCATCTAATACCGAAGGGAATAAAAAAGTATAAGGCAAGTCAAATTCTGATACTTAAGAGCAGGTAAATGCATACAGTGAATGAGTTATTCATTTGGTGAATGTTATTTGTTTCCCACGAACTAGTTCCATTTAAGAGGCATATGATTTTCCAGGTATAGAGTTTCAATTAAAAGCATTGGTTAAATAAATAAATAAATTCATGCTTATGTTAGAAATCTGTCCCAGTCAATTGGGAAATAACCAGTATGTGTACTTTGTAGTAATGGGTGCCTTGCCTTCTCTGTACATGTCTTGTCCTTGAGGTGAAGTCTGGAGTTAATTAAATTTGGTCCCTCAGCAGTTTCCAAAGAGCAACCACTTGACATTACGGAGCATGTTCAGCATATAACAAATACACCAGCTCACGAACCCAATACTGTAAAGAAACCATGCTTCACATCTTGAAAACTGCAGAACTGCAGAATCCTGACATGGATTTTTTATTTTTTGGTTTATTGGGGTCTTTTTGCCTTTTAATTTAATTTAGTGGAACTTTGAAAGTGAAGCTCCTGGCAGTTGTTTTGCCTGCCTCTGAAGAACTATTATTTCATCTCCAAGAGCACTTGGTTTTTCTTAAGTGGGCTTTCCAGCAAGACAAGAACCTCCAACATTCAAGGAAAATGTGATCACGAGCAAATTGCATCTGCTTACATTTTTATCATGGGAAGGAAATTGAAACTTGCGACCATACATTCTAAGAACCTGGTTTGAGGTTTGTTCTGTTTGAACTTCAAAATCCCTTAATACCATGACTGACTCTGATGAAAGATTTTTTCCTGTAAGTCAAACAAAGTCAATCAGGCTCACCTCTAAGAAGCCTGAGCCAAACCAAGACTCTTATCCTGTTCTAACCAGAAATCAGCACTGAAATATCTCACTCAGCTGGGGGAGATCCTACCCCTCAGGGGACTTTGAACCATATCCGGAGAGGTTTTTTTTTTTCCTTGTCACAGCTTGATGGTGGGTGTCAGGGTTGTTACAGGCATTCAGTGGGTAAAGGTCAGGGATGCTGCTAAACATCCTACAAAGCACAGGACAACTGCTACCCCAAGCCTCAACAAATAATTATCTAGCCCAAACCAAAAGGTGGAGAAAACTTATGTTAGCAGACACCTAAGAAGAAAGCAAGAGTTTTTCAGCCAGAGAACTAGGAAACCTTTGTCCTATGTCTTTTCTAGAAGGCTGCCCACCCTACTGCATTATTAAAGAGCAGGGATGGTGGGCCACACTGTCCAAGTTTGCATATGGGATCTATCACTTACTGGTTGTGCCTCTTTGAACAAGTTACTGGACATCTCTGTGCCTCATTTTTCTCCTCTACCAAAGTAATTATGGGCATTTGGTGAATTCATAGTTCTAAAGTGCTAACTTAGAACAGTACCTGGTCTACATATGTAAGAGCATTTGCTAAGTGGTTTTGCAGATCTCTGGAAAAATAAATTTCAAGGCTCAGAAATTCTATGGGCAGTAAGGAAGTGGCTTCAGATCCTGATTGCTGTAGCAAGAATGAGAATAGTTGTCATCTGACAACCACCTCTTTTCTTTCCAGTTCATCAACACTAATCAGAAGCTATCCAGGAAAGGAGCCCAGCAACATGGCAGGCCATCTGCAAGAACAGTGAAGGCTCAGTCTCTTTCCCTCCTTCCCCAGCAAAATTAGCGACTGAAGATCAGTTAGTGCCCTTCGGACACAGTGGAAAACACAAAACTGGGCAGACAGAACCCACTCAGCCACACACATGGGGACACTCACACACCTGCTGCTACTGTAGATGTCTGCAGACTACCATGCCCGCAAACACCCACGGGACTGTGTGCAAAGTCTCCCTCCTCCTGTAACCCACCCGAGGGACCTTTGCAGCCAGGTAGGGCTCAGTTGATTGAAAGGCAACTGGATGCAAAGCTCCGCCAAAGGGGCACGAGGAGGAAAGAAAGCCCGTGGGTGTCCCAGGCCTGACATCCTGGTTACATCACGTCGCATAGACACCCACATACATGGGGGTGCCTGGAGGGATGGGTCACAGAGAAGGAGCTGCAAAGGGGAAGTTCAGGAGGGGGCAACCAGATACTCACCTGGCCGCGTTCCCTAATCCACCTGCCACCCAGGGGAGCAGCAGTGGGAGCGCGAGGCCCCAGGACTGCTGCATGTAGGCAGGGTCGTCCCTCCTTCCTCCCGCGCCCCTCGGAAGGCGTCTGCTGGGACCCGTACGCAGCGGGACCGCTGCCTCCTCTCTCTTCGGCGGTTCGGGGCCTCGGCTGTTCCCGTGGCTCCCGGGTGCTGTAGCGATCGGGGAGGGCGCTCGCTGCTGCTAGTGGCTGGGCAGCCTCGGTTCCTCTGCGGGTGAAGCCCGCGGGGTGAGCGAGGGAGGGCGGGGCGGGCGCGCACATCTGGCTGAGACCCGCCTCCAGCACGACAGGCGCGTCCTCCGCAGTCTCAGTTCCCCCAGAAACTTTCCCCAGACTCAGTTCACTTCATGGTTGTTGAGGTATATTTTGGGGACCGGACACGTCGGTGATACCTGAGCTGGAGGGATTAAGAATTTAATTGGGAAATCAACGCTGGACCAAGGGTTCAGGTTCATAATGTCGGGCTATCTCACTTTTGTTTAGGTTTTCTTACTCTGCCAGGTTTTCTTCCACAAACTGTATATCATGGGATGGTAGAGCTGGAAGGTCACCAAGTCCTGTGCAGCTCAGCCATTTGACAAGTGATCTCTCCTGGTCATTTGTAACAGCATGCTTAGATGGAACCCCAAATGATATTGAAATACAGTGACCAGTGCAGAAACCAATCGCAAAAAGAGGGATGACAAATGAGCTCAGAGAATTCTTTTGGTTACTGATGCATGCTCTTTGTTCTGACAACTTATTACAGTAGAAGGAATGATTGGTTCCCTCCTCCTTCTCCCCATCCACACCCTTGGCTTCATGGTGGTCAGAGCCCCTGGCTTCACATCTTGGCTTTGGACTTGGCTGTGTTACTTGCTTGAACACATGATATAAGGGCAGAAATTGCAATGTTCTGGTTCCAAGCCTAGGCTTTAAGATACTTGAGCCTCTATTGTGGACATGGGAAGACTTTTTGCCAGTTAGTTGAGTGGCCCACGGAGGATGAGGAACAGATAGAACAGAGCTACCCCAGTCAACTTGCAGGTCTCTAGTTTGAAGTACAGCCATTCAGTGGACCCTAGTAGATATCAGCCAACCCCAGATGTGCGAATGAATGGAACTAAAGTTAGAAGCACAAACCAAGCTACTGAGGCTTACTGGGATCATTTCTTACACAGCAATAGCTCTCTGATACACCTGTGACCTAGTGTTAGGAATAAAATGAAGACATAGAGAAAGACATTTGTCTTCATTATAAACTTGATTCAATTTTATGGGCATATATATGCCTTCATTCTGGTGAGAAGTAGGGCTGGATAAGATTCTTACTGCAGATTCTTGCTTTGTACCATATTATCAGTGCAAGCCATGTTTAGTTAGGTCCCTTGTTTTACCATTGGAGGCATCCCCATGGATTCAGAACCCTTGGTCAGTAAACAATTAGAACAGTGAGCTGTTTCACAACTAATCATGACAGGCATTGTCTTAAACACTTTACATACATTATCTTATTGAACATCCACAACTCTGTTATGTGGAGACTATTAGTTCCCCCAGTTTGGAAGGTCAAAAAACTGATAGTCAGAGCAAGTAAGTGGCTTGAAAACCAAGACTCTTTTCCAGTGGGCTCTGCTGCTGTTATGTCGATCTTTTCTGTTGTTTTTGTTCTTGCTTTGATCTCCTTACTCCTTGGCAGCATCACATGTCAAAAAAGTCTCATGAGTCAGGAAATAAGATGATTTCTTCAAGGCTCTTACCAAAATCAAAAGGAAGGAATGTAAGATATGAACTCTATACCTGCAAATATCTTAAAGAAAATAGAATGTAAAATATATCTTGGTATGGATTTCCCCACAAGCAGACACCAAGGCAAGGATTCCAGTTGAAGTAGGTTATTCTGGAAGTACAGAGAGCACTGGTAGAGGAGTGAGGGAGTGAATCAGGGCAGAAGATAATTATCAGACATGTATTAAGTTATCATGGGCAACTGGAGTTTCACACTGCTGGGGATCTCCCAGAGCTGGCATGGAACATGCATCTCCAAATGAATTTATCCCCCAAATGAGGAAATTGGGGTATATATCATTTCAATCACTGCCTGACAGCTTCAACCAGGGTGCTGATCTCAGGACTTCTGCCTTCTGTGCTGAGGGCAGAGCTAGGGGCATACGGTCAAAGCCCTCAGGCAAAGGACTGTAGATACTGACTATGGAAAGCCCTACTGAAATGTAGGGACTGAGAGGACAAGGGCAGGATGACACATTGACTGCCACCTAATATCTAGAAATTGAATTGAAAATTATGATTTTTTGCCCATATTACTTCTCCCTAGATATTCAGATACAAGCAACCTCCTTCAAATGAACCATTATTTTAAAAAGTCCTAATTAAACATGATTAGCCTAAAATATGAGGCTCATCCTGCCTTCTTAGTCATCATATACAAAGGTCAGAATGGCATCTTGCGTTAATGTTCACCTGTTGGGTTCTAGCTATAGCTTCAGCAGTTTGACACTGTTTCTGGCTTTGTTTTTCAGAGCCAAAATCTATTCTGTAGGCTTAAGGAGGTGATGAGCATTACAACAGATAACTTCAGAGGAGGTCAAACACTTCTCAGCCAATCCACCTATTATTTCCTGGAGGGAGCTGTGGACAAAGGAGCTGTCATTTAGTGTGAGGAACAGAGAAGGAACCTGGAAATGATGTGTCGCCAGGTGAGATGTCAGATACAAATTGCCACCTGGAGGCAGGTGTTTTTAATAACCACACAGGTGCTGCTGACTTTGAAGAGAAACTTGGCAACTGCTCTTTAGGGAATCTACTCTGTTCTACAAAGGAAAAATGATCTTTGATCAGAATCTCATAAAATTGTCTACATCTCGGGCTGCATTTTTTTCCCAATCTATTTCCACTCAGCCCCCTGCATGAAGCAGGTGTGATGGTATTTTTTCATGCTTTCTGAACACACACATGCATAACTTTTAACAAATGTGCCTGGCATTGAAATACAAAAACTATTTAATTGGCCCCCAGTGTTGCTCATGCTGCTTGTCTGAGGACCATACTTAGGGTGGTGAGATTTAAAGGTCACCTGGATTGGTGGTTCACAAGTTGAGTTGCACATTGGCAAACTTTGACAGTACCAATGCCTGGGCTATGGCATGGGCATGAACACTTGCAGCAACTTTCCAGGCTATCTAATGGAGAGCCACTAATATGAACCAACAGTCACATTTTACAGCTGAAAAACTCAGTCCCAGAGTGCAAAAGCAAATTTGTCCAAGGTCTCAACACAGAATGTCCCTGTGTTTCTACCACATAGTCTTCCTACTCATACTTCATGATGTTTTCTTGATCACCATTCCTACTGAAGACAAAATGGCACTGCTTAATTCTTAATAATTTATGTTCATCATAGCCCAGCACCATATTCTAGAAATGCGTGTGTTTTCCCAGTTTGTTTTTTCCATCTCTTCTTATTCAATGAAAGGAGTCAATGAAGAAGTGTATAAATCTCAATGCAGATACTGGACTTATGGATATGAAGGTCTGTCTTGAGGTATACATTGATTTTCTTCTTCCTGTGCTCTGTGATAGAAGAAAATTCACAATAACTTTATCTTTCTTTCCTTCCTCCTCCTCTTTCCCTCTTTCTTTGATCTTTCTTTTCTTGTTTGCTCAAATATTTATTGGGGTCCTAGTCAGTGTCGGGCCCTGTGCATTGCAGTAGGGGCTACTTGATGAACAGTTCATGTTTCTTTTGTCTCCCTGGCATAGTGGGCTGGACAACCTAACATATAGTTTATGGAAAGTTTGGACTTCTTTAGCAATATGATTCTTACCTCTCAATGTAGAAAAGACTAAGGCAAAAGTAAATGGGGAAAAAATGATAGCTTGGTAAAATTTCCCTTCAAATTTTGGTAACCCTTAGAACTCTGCACTTGGAAATTGAGAAAGAGAAGGAAACTGATGCTTGTGAAGTGATTTTTATAGGCTAGATATTTTATAGAGTAACTAGTGACTATTAGCAACATTTTTAAGGAGGCATTATTACCCCCATTTTATAGATGAGGAATGTGAGGTTTAAAGCAGTCAAATATCTTGTCTAAGATTATCTAGCAATGTAATGGAAAAACATGGGTTTTGAAGTCATAGGTTAATTTTGCCACTGGATTTCATTCTTTATAACAGAAATATGTAAATTGGTAGTAATATTAGAGTAGGGTCAATTCATCAGGGTGCATTCTAGTGAGGGGCAACATGGTTTACATCTGATTTTTAAGGGGGCCTATAACTCTTTAAATGTCATGACTAAAGAGAAATATCCCCTTGCCTGTGAATTAAATCTCATTGCCTGTATGTTAGCTCCCTTGACTTTTGACCAAATTCATAAGTTTCTAACTGAAGGCACTCAAGGGGCAGGGGCTTTTCTTTTTGTCTTGGGGGGTAGACAGGATTATAACCTGAGTCCATCCTGTGGATTTCCTTCTTGGTCTGTGTATAAGTATATTTTGCTATTTTTCTGTTCATCAATGAATGTAATAACTTGACATACCACTGTCTATTTTTCCTACATAAATCCTACACAATGATTTGTGAGACCTCAGCCCAGGCAACCCAGTTTAGACAATCCTTAAAAGCAAATACTCTTACTCAAAGTCTCTCCAACTTAATTTGGGAAAGTTTGGTTGAGAAATGTTCTGTGGACTGTAAATTAGGAACTGCATTTGTAATCCCCTCACTTTTTAAAAAAAAGAATAAAAAACAGAAAAATTAGCTAGAATAAAATTCTTTCCTTTTTAATAAAAATATACATATTACCATTTTAGAAAGTTTTTACATAAGGTTTATAGGCTTGTTCATTCCTTTAACAAATATTTATTTTTACCTTGCCAATCATGTGCTGGACACTATGTTTGGTTGGAATATAAAGATGAATAAGACATAATCCTTTTCCCTGGGTAGCAGAAATGCAGACATATTATTACAATTAATGACATAAGTGTTAACAGAAGTATTTCAGGGTGCTGTGGAAACAAAGAAGGAAAAAATGCAATTCTTTGTATTCTATACATTTAAATGTTTGTCCCTGTTTTGTCCCTTACTTTCATAAATCACTTAATAAAATAACTTTTGGATGGCA